AGCAGTAGTGAGGCCAAGGCNTTTTAAAATGCGGGTTGGTGTGCGACTTTGGTTCTGCTGGAGTCCGGGGGGAGATTTATGTCACAATTTGCGCGCGGCTGTACTTCAAAAGGTCTACAACACGCTTCAGATCAAAAAAAGCTTTTTGTCAAACACTTCACATTATTTACTAGAAAATTTATTAAACACTGATTCTTCCAATGAGATATCACCGGTTTCGCCATCGACGTTGTGCATTTGCTTCGGCCGATCGACCATGGTGCCATCGAGATTTCGCCTTTATTGCAAAGGGAAATAATTTTTGAGCCAAAAACTTGTTACCATTTTGCATTTGCCAAGTATACAACAGGTAATAATGACCAAGATATGTGTGTTTTCACCATACTAATTTTTGGATGCATTCCCCCATTCGCGTCACACATATGTGACGCAGGCTCTACTAGCCTTTTTCGGATGATTGCTCCAAATCGTGAGCCACAAGCGCATTAGTCAAGCTTAAAATCACCAAAAGATTTAAAATTTAAAAAAAAACTTGCAGCAAGATTAAGGTATTGAGGAAGTTCTTCTTACTGTCGCCTTTCATTAAAGAAGGCGCACCGAGATGTCGGTTCGTCAGCCAATCGATTAATTTTGGACCAACGAGTTTCTTGTCTCCTAATCAGCTAGACATTGTTTTACAAGGACCAGCGCAGTAGTATGAAAAACTACCACTGAAAAATAAGTTATGAGCTATGATTTAGTCTCATGCATCGCTAGACCTCCCCGCTTTTGGAGCAATTACGTAATCGCGGTTTAATGGATCCGCGAACTTTAGACGCACTGTCGAATACACCTGTCAAGACGCCTTATGACTTCTTCAAAGTGTACTGCAAGACTCCTCTCGTCATCGGCTGCAGGAACGGCTGGCTGGAGGGCACCTGATCTGGGTCAAGCGAACTCACCAAGCTGGTGGTTCAATAAACGTCCCCAAAATAGTGCGTGCTGGGATTCATTTCAAGTCTCGTGTAACCATCTTCAACGAGTGCCTTGCACTAACTGTTTACATATTGCTGCAAATGGTACAACTACGCACTGCTTCGTTGCCCCTTAAAGGCGATGCTATAAACACCAGACACACCACCGCCATGGCAGTCCTGATCTATGGTGGGCACCCAGGGCCGACCCATGAGATAAGACGAAGGTTTTGGGGAGGGAGTGGTAAAATGCTTCATCTTAGCCTTCTTACCAATTCAAATGCAACCTAACCCTACCTTTTAGGTAATCCAGTACGTAAGTTTGTGCTGTGCATGTGCCTAGCATATAATTCTCCGCTCTTCACCGTCGCTGCGCCTTATTACTCTGCGCCTCGCTAATGCACGCATCCAAATACTTACCGCACGTCTTACTGTCAGCTACTCGACAGCAAAACGCCATCACGGAAAGTGAGGTCTTCACAATGCTAGAGTTTAATGTCAATAGCTTAGTTTTCCAGCATGAAACCCCCTCTAATCAGATTGGTCGATACGAGAGGTTATCAGGGCGGGAGGTTCCCTCTCAACTCCTATAGTAGCTAACGAGGTGAGGCGCCTAGAGGCGATCACTTTTCCGTGCTGAAGCAACAGGAAGTCTCGCCTGTTTTTTTTCTTTATATTATGAGGGAAAGATGTCAGCAATATCACCCCTCAAAACAAATTAGGCCCAATTGGCGATGCATTTCTCTTCAAAGAGAAATAACTGACAGTTAGCGTTTTCATTTGTCATTTGTCATTTTCATTTCATTTGTCCCTATCATCCGCAACTATGTACAGCTGCTAAATGTCTGTGATTTAGCAGTTCCATGGTGATGGTCAAGTATGGGAACTGAATGAACTTCCAGTTGGTTCACAGCTTTGTCATCCTTTGCTTGAGTGATCGATGATTTGATCAACATCTCCAACCTGTTTCTACTAGCGGTGATTGTAGAATTAACAAAATTGGTTGGACCTAAGTGGCTTCTGCCTCTTTACTTAGAAAATGCAACAGACACCCTAAAAATGTTACCTCATAGCAAAAGAAACATAGTTATCTTATCAGAGTCGATAGTAGATTTTACATGCTACTTACTAAGTTAATAAGTAGCAAGACACAATATCTCGGATTTGATTAAGCCGGGCGTTTCCCGAATAGAATTGCTGAATTTCTGTAAGAATTTCGTCTCTCCCAATCGAAAAAAGAGGTGATTTAAAGTAAGGTGACACTGACTAATCATGTAAATAGCATATTTGAAACTGATTTTACTGAAGATGATCGTAAATCTGACGGAAGAGGAAGGAACTGAAACGTTTTTATTTTTTTACTTGACAAGGCTCCAATGCACCTCACAAAATCTTTCCTTCCAGTAAAGAAATCCTGTAATTATCAAATCGTATACTACCAGACATTGGTAGAAACTCCCACTTGCTACTTACAAATTCCTGGGCTGTGTGTCCACCTCCTGTTTTGGAGAGGCCAGACGGTAGCCCTAATAATGCGACTAGGGCCGTCAGTGTCATAATTTTCCTTTGCTCAAGGAATCCAAGTGCAAAGCAAGCCCCGCGTTTCAAATCGTCGTATGATATTATCATTGGCGGCTAAATAGAATCAGATTAAGGAAAAACACCGTCTTTGACGATTGCTTCAAACGCGTCCTTTATTCCTCAAAGGAGTACTTTCATGCTTTTTTAAAGCCTTCTGCCGCGCTATGCATTTTGTGGGCTCTACTGGAGCTTACCTTGGTTAAGGAGCATGGAGAGTGCGCTCGTTCAATTGCTACCACCGCCGGTTCTGACATTGAGTAGATCCGCTGCTACCTTGCAATGCTTGCTCATTCTCAAGTGCTATTTTCTCCATCTCTTAGTTCACTGAAAAGACGACCCCGTTTCCCGAATTGACTTGCGCCAAATGCGATGATGGCATAGGCGGTTGCCAACCTGACCACGTTGTCAACGAAGTGTGCCAGAGGGGCACCACCGCGTGTATGGTAAGAGCCTCCGTCACTACTTACTTATTTACTTATTTAGAATAGCGAATATTTGACCATTTTAAAGTAGATCTGAGATGGAAAAGGCTTTGCTGC